ATAGTTAAAGAAATGATTTTTGCCTGCTTCATTTTGCCTTAAATAGACTCTGGTTTTAAATTCTCTCCTATATACAAATGAGCTTTCTCTCTCTCTCTCTATATATATACATATATTGATTTTCTACAAAAATAATTTCAAGATTGCTTTCTTTCTTGTTTTTTAATGGAAATGTAAGGTTCTAAGTTAAAAAGTTTTATGAGTTATTTTCAAGAAATAACAAAAAATATATAACAGATATTAAGGATATTGTTTTTAAAAAATAAAAAGTAAAAAAATAACACTTTCAGATAAAAAAAAGGATACTGACAAGCTCTCCCAGAAGGTACATATTAATTGTCACAAACATATAGAAGCTTATACAAGTGATTAAGTTAACTAAAATCTGAGTGTTACATTAAAGGTTTTGTAAGGTCAAAATTTAATGTACTGATGTTAAATTAAAAGTTACTTTTCTAGACTTACAACAAGACTATCTTTAAAATATTGTATTATTGTTCTTAATAACATTTACAAAAATATTGTCTAAAAAACTGGTTTTCATTTTGTCACGATAATTATCAGAAATTTTTGGTGCTACAGGTTAATCCACAGATTTATCAAGACAATAAGTGTTTATTAAAACACAAAAGACAAGAGGCAGCTGAGCACAGGGGTTGCTCCTGCACTGATATAAAGATTGAGACAGACTTATTTATGTAAAGCAAAGCCAAAGTACACCCTCCAGATAGGACAAAATGAATAAATAAATAAATTAAAACCTCAAAAAGGAACACTACACTGGAAGTCAAGACCTCCAATTTTTACTGGACTCAACAAAGTGGAAGTGTTAGTCCTAATCCTTCCACAAGTTGGGTGGAGGGATTTTTTACACTAGGATAGCCAGATTGGGCTTATTACTTTAGGGAGCCTCCATTGACTCCAGGTTGGTGGGATCCTGCTCTATGTCTTGAGCCATATGAAATGTCAACAATCTGAGATATGATCCCTTATCAACATGTGAGCCATGATTCTTGGCCACTATGTTTCCTAACTCCACACTTAGTCCCCATAAATATTTACCTGTGTTCTCTGGTGATTTTTGTCAGCATTTTAACTACTAAGGTAACTGAGTCATGCTCATTGAAGAGTTGGTTTTGTTGGGGTTAACAACAAGGACAGCCCAGTTAGGACTAGTCTCCTCCCCCTTGCAGATGGCTTACTTTATCTCCTTGGATAGATACCAAGGACAGTTGGGTAGACAGTGACCTAACTACAACTTATGTTTCTTGATTGCCCAGCAACAATATCCCTTAGTGACCCTCCTGGTACTTTTCCACTAGCCCCCTGTATCTAGCCCAAGGCTGTGTATGGCAATGGGCTCTAGCTGTCTTGCTGGGGTCTCCCTTCACAGGGATCCTGCCTGAACAATAAACCCTGAATTGGTATTTGAGCAGTCTCCTGCCACTTCCAAAACTCTTACTTTCTAACAGGTTATATAAAACTAAGTAGATGACCTCATGGTTAAACAAGTGTTGTCTTCGATGATTCTAATACAGTTGGTATCCTACATGTGACTGTGACTAGGCTATTTGGGGTCACTGACACAGTTCTGCTCCCCCACTGATAAAAATCTAAGATTTACTTAAAGAACAACTAAACTAACATGTATATATAAGCTTTATAAAGTTGTAATGTTGTTGCTGGTTCCTATATTAATGTTTTTCAAGTACATCTAGCCTTCTAAAATACAAAATTAAGATACACATGGTAAAAAATGTTAGTGGTACTAATACACTGCTCTATTAGTTGCTAAATTGTCCATCAAAATTTAACCATTGGACTTTTAAGCTTTTCCCTTACAGTTCTGATCCTTCTGGGGCATTTAGAAACAAGTCCATAAAAATGACTCCATAACTACTTATGTGTCAACCAGGTTAGCTTTTAAGACATCTGCTTTTGTTAGATTTTGTTTTGTATTGTCCTTTTCTAGAAGCCCACTGCCTAAGAGCCACTCCTTCTAAGCCTCTTTGTTGCTTAAATTTGGCCAAAAGTTTCTAGTTGGCACTGTCTCCCATCAGAGACACCCACCCACCCACCTGGACATGGGACAAAATCCAGGAAAGAACAACGAATCAAGAAAGATCTTCATTCTATTGCCACACCACCCTGACCACGCCCTGCCTCATATTTTCTTGGAAGCTAAGCAGGGTCGGGTCTGGATTGTACTTGGATGGAAGACAGATCTTTAAAAGAGACTGCTCAGAGACAAGCAGTTTGGAGACAAGGAGGGAATGCCATCAAAGATCCAATGTTGTCACTAATGCCAGACCTCTCAAAAATAGCCAAGGCTGAGAGGATTAAAGAAATGGTTCTTATGCATGTGTGGCTATCTGGCATTAAAGCCCTACTAGATACAAACTCATATTTTTAGGCAGGGTCTTCTACTTAAATAGAGACATAATAACTAGTTTTACTGGCTTTAAACATGTCCTTTGATACATAATGATGATGGTTTTATAATATACTGTTGCCATGGTAATTGTACTCAGTTAAAAAAAAAGACATTGTCTAGATAAAAAAATATATAAAATGTCCACCCATTAAAACCCCATGGAGATTCCCTTTTGTTGTTATTCTCTCTACTCCCACCGCAGTTAAAGTAGCAGAGATTGCTTCTTGGATCAACCACAGCTGAGTCAAACCAGCTTCTCTCAAATGGGAGTGCATCCCTGACCCAGCTTCACCATGTAGGATCACCCTCCGGAATCTGAGTATCCTCCCCTGGCAGGACTCTGCTTCCCAGGAATCAACAGGGGACCAAGTACAACAGGACAACAGCCCTGCTCTCATCACACCTTGGAACTGACTAGTCTACTCACTGCAGAAGCTTGAAGAATCGAGTCTCCAATGTGACAACTGGATGCATTGTCACCCCTTGTTTGTATCTGTTGCTGTACTTCTTACCATAATCTTTGGCTTAGTTCCGGCAGAGACTGTCCCTGCTGATTTGGACTCATGGTGAAAGGTTTTTATTTAATCTCAACTATCGTTTTTAGGAAGGATCCATACTTACTATTGATTGTTACTGATGTGGTTTCCCTTTATGGCCTCAGACCTCTCCTCCTGAGGCCTATGTATGCATACTACTTGGGCAGGAAATGTTGTCACTAGGACTTTGCTATTCCATACTTACTATTCTTGTGCAGGCACTGTCATACACTCACAACCAAACTGTGTATTCAGTGTGTTCCCATGGTAATCAGCATATCTGCTTCAACACCTCTTATCACCCCCAGAAGCAAGGGTTAGAGATCAGGAGCGTCCACAATCCTGGGAACCTTATCAGCCGCACCCAGGTGTTTAGTCCAGATAAACCAGTATCAAGGTTCTTTGATGCATGTGTAGCCATAGACAAGGGTGCATATGGAAGTATAAGCTATGGTTGTTGGGGCTTAGCTTGGTAAGGAGCCTATCCATCAAAGGATAAGTATTTGTGCTGGGGAGACAACTCTTGGCCATGTGATGATGTGGGTTCTCATTATTGTCCTTACTGAAGTTGTGTTTCATGGGCCACATGGCAGAGGACTAAGCACACAGCCTTTCTTCACAAAGGGAAAGCTGCCCCAAACTGCACCCATGGCTCCTGTAACCCTGTAAATTTCACTGTACTTAAACCATCAGTTTGGACATAGGGACATATAATTGGCACAAGGATGGAACTGGAGATCATCGTGTTAAGTAAAGTGAGACTCTGAAAGACCCATATTGCACGGTCTCTCTCGTATGTGGAATATGGATTTGAAAAAAGACATGAAAGCAGAAGGGGACTATTTAGAGGGATGAGTGGGAGAAAACAGAGGGTGATGTGAGGTGAAGATGATTGAAGCATATAGTATACATAAAAGAGAATGTCATACTGCAACCCCTTCTTTTGTGCAATTAGTAACAGTTACGAAAAGATTGGTGCAGCCATGGTGGAAACTGTTCAGTGGTTCACAAAAATGTTAGTCAGAATTATCAAATGACACAGTCGTCTCACTCTCAGGTATATAGTGAAGAGATTGAAAGCACATGTTTTAATTGAAATGTGTACATTAACGTTCATATTGGTGCTATTTATAATATCTATAAACTAGAACACACCCCAATGTCCATCAAGTGACAAATGCATAAACGAAATGTTGTCTCTCATATAATGAAATGCCACCTAGTAAAAAAAAGATTCTCATGCATGCCATAGCGTGACTGAACCTTAAAGAGACAAAGCCAATTGACAGAGATGACACAAAGACCACACATTGCACGATCCCACTTACATGACACATGCACATCAGGAAAACCCATGGGGATAGGAAGCACGTTAGTAAGTGTCAGAGGCTGGGAGAGAGAGAAAGGGAGTGATGCTTAATGGATGTGGTGCTTCCTGTCAGGATGATGAAAATGTTGTGGAGTAGATAGATACTGGTGGCAGTTGGAATACACTGTAAGTGTGTAAATGACCCTGAATTGTTTACTTTAAAATGGTTGAATGGGTAAATTTTATGATATTGTGTGTTTTGCTACAAAATAAAACTAAGTGGATAAAAATTTAACTGCACCTGCTTCCTTTTACTTTTTAAAATATGATTATAGGTCCTGGCACAATGGCTCACAGCTGTAATCCCAGTCATGAAGTGGGTATTTGGATGACCGTGGTTTGATGTCCATCAGGGAAAAAGTTAGCGAGACCCAATCTCAACAAATAAGCTGGACATGTTGGTGCTCACTTATAGCTCCTGCTATGTGAGTGGCCATAGGTAGGAGGACCACAGTCCATGCTGGCCCTGGGCAAAATGGAAGATGCTACCTAAAAATATTACTAAAGGAAAAGAATGTGCTGGGGCCATGGTGCAAGTGGTATAGTGCATGTCCAACCCCAATACTGCATATATATACATTATCTGTCTATCTATCTATCTATCTATCTACGTATCTACCTACCTATATATGGATAAACTTTAGCTATGGGTGTGACTCACCTTCTGTTCTTCTGGGACAGTGGTGATTTCAGGGACTGTTCAAGGCTCATCTTCGTAACTTCTTACACTCAGTTTATTTTCAATGCTCACCTTCCCTGCCTGCTCCTGTTTGCAGCAGGTTGAAGGGGTCCTGAACACAGTATGGTTCTAGGTATAACTTCTGTAGGAAGATTCCAGATGAGTATTTCTTAGGAAAGATGAGTTCATCCATTCACTGTATAAATGATATCTGATTTACATCATGGATCGCAATCAAGTACCAGAAAAAAAACTGGTGTGGAAGGGAGAGTGAGAACTCAGTGATTTGTAAGTTTGCTGAAAGCCTTTTTAAAAGGATTGGTCATTTGGTTTCCTGGTTTTGTCCCAAGGGCATTTTTGTTAATCAAGCACCTGCTCCTCAACCCAGAGGATATAGTTTCCTTCAAATTAGCCATGGTGACATGGGCATTTCTTGATGCTAAGCTAGAGGATGAGGACCAGTGTTGAGCACACTACCCAATTGAAGATCAGCCCATGCATCGTGTTCTCCTCCCTTTTATTCCAAGTCTGCACTCCACCAATCTGGAGGCACAGGAGATGTGACTCCTTGGTGGGCACTAGGCAGGGAGTTCTGTGTGACCAGACACACTGAGCAATGGAGACTACTAGCTTCTAGGGATGGCTGTGGTCCCAAGACAGTTCTTTCTCTGCCCTAATTCTGAAGTTTCTCATGTTTGCGACGGCTTGGAGATGTCCCAGTTCCCTGTGACAGTTGGGAGAACACTGGCTGAGAGGAAGAAACCCTAAAAATGAGACATCACCAGCCTACCTGTATGTTTTATCCACTAAGTGCGCCTCCCTTTTGTGAAAGGGACAGATGGAAAAAGTCACAATTCTGTCAGCAAAATTAATTCTGGAGAAGGCTGGAGTTGCTGTGTGTAAGTCACCAGCAGGGGTAAAGGTATTCACAAATGCAATGTGGCATATATATATATATATAATAAGATATATATGTGTGTGTGTGTGTGTGTGTGTGTGTGTGTGTGTGTATAAAAGATAGCTTTCATTCCATTTATCAGTTGTGCCTGTTAGGACAAAATTCTGAGTTTCTATATCAATTCAGCTCATAGCTACTCTTCCCAGCAGCCCCCAGCAAGAGACCACTTACCTAAGTTTGGGCTTCACCATCCAATATCTGATTTCTTATTTGGCTTCAATGATACAGCTATGAGGGGAAAGTCTGGTAAAAGTTTTTGGTACTTACAGATGCTGGAGGTCCCCAGAAGGTCCTGGGTGCAGCAAAGAGTGTAGTGAGAGGTGAGAGAAAAGCAAATAGTTTAGCAAGAGAGGGGAGACCAGAAAAGAAACAGACAGGCTGTGTTCTGATAACGAGACAGGGGGAGGGGTTGGCAAAGCAGAGAGATAAAACTTAAAGAATTAAAACATGAAGATCACATTGCACTGAAGAAATGAAATAGCCAATGAAGTCACATGCAGCTATATGTGGGTTAAGCTTTTCTTTTTGAATCTGTAACCTGTTTGCAAACATGTGTAAGGTGAGAGCCCTTTCTTCTCAGGGCTCAGCCTTTGGACACCAGTCCTCTGTGTGGGTGCAAGGACAAAACGTTGCTTCATGCTAATCTGCCTCATAGACTGCTATCTCAGCTCATAATGTCCCACAACATTACTTGGGGGCTTGCCCGGATTATGGGAGACAGTGAGTTATCACCTCCATTGGCACCAGGGAGCATGCCCTGGACTGCTGGGAGGAGTTCCCATCAGGTACCAATGGACAGCTTGATCTGGAGGGGATACATCCACCCAGTGAGTAGGGGTGAGGGCCTCGGATGCACAAAGGAACGCACTGAGGCACTGGAACCTATTTAGGAGAACCACACTTCAGTATGTTAAGAACCTGGGTTCGAATTCAGGCCTGCCTCAGGAGGTAGAAGGGGAGTCTGATCACCTTACAGAGACTGCTAATAACTGCCTGTCGAGGTGAAACCATGTCTCTCTGATTTAGGGAGCGGGATGGAAGGACCGTGTCATGTGAGAGTATATAAAAGCACGTGCCTGAGACGTAGCCCAGCTGCAAAGTGAGTGAGTGGTCCTGATCTTAGGTCCGTGGTGAACTCAGGAAGTCAAGTGTGAGCCCCCATGGGGCCTCTGGGCAGTGGTTTTTATGGACTCACTGGGGCGTAGAGTCTCCTAAGTCCCTGCAAGGGAGCAGCAGGAGATGGATGAACCAAGTGCTCTTCCAAAACCCTTTCCCTCCATCCAGCCCCCTCTGTCTTGCCCTTTGGAAATGGGAGGAGATAGGTGGAAATCAGAGTAAAAACACTTCCTTGAGGTGCATGATTAATAACTTTAAAAAGCGATTAAATGGAGACTGTGGGAATACAGTTAACTCCTAACAAGCTAAACATCCTTTGTAAAGTAGATTGGCCTGCTTTTGGTATAGGATGGGCCCTTGAAAGTGTGACTAGATAAAACTACGATTACTATAGTTTACACACTAAGTGTAAAAAAAAAATCAAAAAACCCTAACACCAGGAGAATGGGAAAATGCCAAGAGGCTAAATTGGTGTTCAAAAACCAGACTCTGTTCTTTAATTAAGATCAGATACCAATTTATTGGGTGGACTAAGGGAAAATCAGTCTTTCAGTCTTGATGGGTAGCTTTGGTGCCCCAGTTTGCACATCTTCAGCGAAAATGGGCATCCTGAAGGAGGACTGAGGCTCAGCACTAACTGAGCTCTTACTAAAATTAAAACATGAAGGATGGACTTGCACTGATACATAAGGTATGGTGTGACTTAAGAGACAAGGAATATTGCAAAAGGGTTGTGAATGTAGAGAGGGGAAAATGGAGGAATGGAAACAAAATTGGGATAAAGCCTTCGTGGATAAAGAAGAAAAGAAAGAAAAAATGAAATGTCATTAAATGTATAGAGATAAAAAAGGATAAAAGGTTTAATATACTCCTTCAGCTGGTAAGATGGTGGGGACGGGAAGAGAGGGAGAAACGACGCAAAAAAGGTATGCACATGTGAATAAATGAATCACTAAAAAAAAAAGAAAAGAAAGAGAAAAAAAAGAAATGTCATAAAATGTTTAGAGACAAAGGAGGATAAAAGCTTTAATATACTCCTTCAGCTATGTTTTTATGTGTTAAAAATAAAATGTAAATAGAAAACAATTTAGGATTATTAAAATATGCCAGAAATACTGAACTTGCTGGCACCTTTTCTTCTAGGGAGCATAAACAGGGAGAACCTACCTAAAAGGGTAAGAAAAAGAGCAATTTTGACAGTTGCTAGTGAAGAGAAAACAGTTACAAAAGGTTGGTGTAGTAAGCTTGGTCTGTTATTGAGACAGTCATGAGATAAGCTTATGTTTCCCTTGCTAATGTCTGGTCAGCTTATGCATCCATCTAATGGTATGCTCACAGTGTGTGTATATACAGAAACATCTTGAAAACAGTTCTTATTATACAGTCAATACAAAAATTATCATTGTGTTCTATTGCTGCTTTTAAGAAAACAGGTTATTAAACTTATTTCAATCTGGTCTCACTAAGATTCAGGCATTCAGGGGTTAACACTCCAGCTCAGCCTAGAGGAAAGACAGAAAAAAACAAAAAGAAAAGGGGGGGGCACAGCCTGCAACAAAAGTCTTGGAGTTTGCATAGTTAAAGAAATGACTTTCTCATGTTTCATTCTGCCTTAAATATAATCTGGAATTAAATTCTCTCTCATAATACATGGGTCTATAAACAAATGAGCTTCCTATAAATTGATTTTCTACAAAAGTAATTTCAAGGCTGCTTTCTTTCTTGTTTTTTCACGCAAACGTAAGGCTCTAAGTTAAAAGGTTTTATGAGTTATTTTCAAGAAAGAACAAAAATATACAAAAGATATTAAGAATATGGTTTTTAAAAAATAAAAGGTAAAAAAATAATAGCTTCATATTAAAAAAAGCATACTGACGGAGCTCACCCAGAGGGTACATATTAAGTTTCCACAAACGTATAGAAGGTGTGTAAGTGATAAGTTAACTAAAATCTGAGAGTTACATTAAAGGTTTTGAAGGTCAAAATTTAATGTACTGATGTTAAATTAAAACAATTTTCTAAGCTTATAACAACAAGACTATTTTTAAAATATTGTATTGTTCTTAATAACATTTACAAAAAATTTTCTGAAAAACTGATTTTTATTTTGTCAAGATAACTATCAAAAACTTTTGGTGTTACAGGTTAATCCACAAATTTGTCACGACAACAAGTGTTTATTACAACACAGAAAAGACAAGAGGCAGCTGAGCACAGGGAGTTCTGCTGCACTGATAAAAAGATTGAGACAGATTTATTTATGTAAAGCAAAGCCAAAGTACACCCTTCAGATAGGATAATATCCCTTAGTGACCTTTCTGGTACTTTTCCACTAGCCCCCTGTATCTAGTCCAAGCCTGGGTATGGCAATGGGCTCTGGCTCTCTTGCTGGGGTCTCCCTTTCAGGGATCCTGCCTGAACAATAAACTTTCAACTGGTGTTTGAGCAGTCTCTCTGCCTCTTCCATACCTCTTATTTTCTAACAGCTTATATAAAACTTTCTCGATGACCTCATGGTTAAACAACTGTTTCTTAGGTGATTTTAATACAGTTGGTATCCTATATGTGTCCATGACTGGGCTATTTGGTGTCACTGATCCTGTTCTCCTTCCCTCACTGATAAAATCTAAGGTTTACTTCAAAAACAACTAAACTAATGTGTATATATGACCTTTATAAGTTGTGATGCTGTTGCTTGTTCCTATATTTATGTTTTTCAAGTATATCAAGCCTTCAAAAATGCAAAATTTAGAGAAACATGGTAACAAAAAGTTAGTGGTACTTATTCACTGTTCTAGTAGTTGCTAAATTGTCCATCAAAATTTAACCATGGGTCTTTTAAGCTTTACCCTTACAGTTCTGATCGTTCTGGGACATTTAGAAACAAGTCCATAAAAATGACTCCAATAACTACTTATGTGTCATTCAGTTTAGCTTTATAGAGATCAGCTTTTGTTA